CCAAAGTGGATTTTAATTTGAAAATTAGCTGCCTACTTCATTAGGAGTCATGAGGCAAAATTAGTCATCTCAACTGGTCAAATGGCCATTCAAAACCCAGGTGTCTTGCCTAAGCTTCTCATACAGGCTTTCTGGACTTCAGAACTTTTTATTTTGGCACCCTCCTTTTCCCATGAGAGTTGTACCACAGTGTAGGGAAGAATTGGTGATGTAGTTTGTGCCTTCAGTTTTTCTCCTGTGTCTTAACTACAAGAAAAGGAGCTTCATACTATTGTTTAAGCCTCACCCTAACACTCAACAGTGTGCTATGGAGCAGTGGGTCTGGTGGTTGATAAATGTTACGTAGTAATTAATGGGGAAAATGATGCTTTGGCCAGTACACAATTCACTGAATATATGTTTAATGAGCGGGAGTGAAACTTGGGAATTAGGGTAACTTCAGTTCTCTGCTGCCATTGTTCATGCCATTGTCTGGGAGGGGGGATAAAACCACTGTCTTCAAGGCTTTGCCAAAAGTCAATGGAAAAATGAAATTCTACTGGGGAGTAAAACCTGCTTCTGTCACCTTTCACCTCTCTAGAAGGGGAATCCAGAATAGCCACCACTTTGTGCTTCTGAGACCCATGCCAGTCGGTGAGCAAGAGAAAAGACAGGTGTTTCAGAGTTATTCTGCATGGGAGGATTTCTTTCTTACTACCTCTGGCCTTGCCAACTTCTTGATTGTCACAATAGGATATCCTATCTTCCTCCCCTGCTCTCTCAGCTAGTAGTAGATATATTTTCTTTCTTATAAGGCCAGAATTTGACTGCGAAGGAAGTAACAGCATCTTTCCAGAAACTCTGTAAATGTGTTACTACTGTATTCCAGTTGTATTTACTTTATTTAATAAAAGACTTATTTCAAATGATTAGCCTGACAGGTGCTTTAGAGTCTCCCCAGAGTCTGATGGGGCAGAATCTGCAGTGGGCATCTGAAGTATATGCAAGTCATGTAAACCTCATAATTGTGTGGAAATCCTTTCTCCTGCCATGGGAGCGAGGACACAGACTCTTAGTGTATTCAGACTCACAGAAGATCACCATGTTGGATGCTGAGTTTGTGGATATGAAGAGGGTGACCAAGGAGAATTACAAACAAATGAAGAGCTGGTCTTGCAGACATACCTGACACAGACTTTGTACCGCAGTGATTCTACTTTACTGGGAGTGATGGCATCCCTTTTCCTTCTGCTGTGGATATCAAACCACTCTATGCCAGAAAGCCCCTCAAATGTGCTGTTTTCTGCAGCAATCAAGTCCTCACCATCATTTTCATCAGAGTATTCAGCTTCTGGAGGTGAGAAATATGATCAGCCATGCATAAATTTGCCTGAGGGCTTGGTAATTTGGCTCCTCATGGTATAATGATAAATATCGGTTGGAAGTCATGACATCACTGTGGGTTTTATAAAAGTTTGCTGTACACCATCTCAGTATTTCCAATTAATTCAGATTTAGAATTTTAGGGATAACTAGAGTAAGAATAACCAACAAATGTAGCTAAGTATGGAGTTTAGGCTATGAATAAATTTGTAAAGGACAATCCCTCCCTCCAAAAGTTAACTATTCAAACAGAAAAAAAATGCAGACAAAGGCAGAGATGATGATGAATGTATACTTCAAGGGATGGAAAACACATTATTGCTCATATGAAAAACCTATGACAAATCTGCCTCGAAGAGTTTTAAGGGCACATGGTAGGTCCCTTATTAGCCAGGGAACTGAGCTGGGCTTTACCTTCTGTGAAGGGAGTTCACCTCCTGTTCTTCAAGAAGAGTTTCTAGTTCTGTAATTGTTAAGTATCTGCTGCACCTACAGTCACTCTGATAATTATTATATTATTACAAATAATAACGAGCTAAATGAAAGAATAGGTAGGGAGAGTTCAGGGGCTTCTATCTTTCCTTGTGATAATTCTCACTTTCCGCAGCTGGAAAGCTGTGAATTATCATTAGCAGCTGGCCAAACGTGTCACCTTTGAGACCCAATCGCTGCCCCTTTCACTTACCAGAGTACCTGATGCTCCCTTCCATTTCCACCGTCAAAATCAAATCATTGCAGGTATTGTTCTTCAGCTCAGAAGACCAGTACATCTTTAATATCTAAGACAAACACACAAAAAGCAAGCCACTAAAAATATCATTTAAATGGCAGGGGATTTACTCATCCAGGACTTGAAGAAATGTTGATGGGACATGGAAGTGTAGAGAGAAAGACCAGTCTCCCAGAGGCTCAGAATGGTCACAGAGGACTGTCACGGGTATAAGCATGTGCAATTCACAAATGGTGTGGGACCCCTTTGAGGTAAGTCTCTATTCCCAACCACAAAGAGGTCTTTCAAACTCCAGCTGTCTCTATCAGCATTGACATTTCAAAGATTTAATAAATTGAAAGACAAGAAAAATTGACTGCCCATAAGGGCAGGCTTTAGACCATGAATTTTAGAAATTTGGAGGTAGGAACATGAAGGTTGAGGTCATGGCAAGTGATCTTTCACTCAGTTTTCAAAAAGGGATTAAAAGAAGTCCAGTTAGACTCTGGATTTTGAATTTGCAACTTACACTCATTGTCCCACTTCCTCTGCCATGTACTGATACTTCAAGTTTTCTCCCAAGTTCAAACTGCAAAGCAAGGGAAAAAAAAAATACTTTGTGCTCAGCATTTGATCTGTAGATTTCCTGTCATCTTGCCTTTACCCCTCCAAAATGGGGTAGGGAAAGTTTTTAGCTATGGAGTTATAAGACCTCAAGTTTCATAACATTTTAAATGTGCTGAGCTGGTACATCTTACTCTGCTGTTTAGGGCTCAATAGACATATTTTATCAACTTTACTCTCCCCTCTGTAGCCTGGATTTGATATTTTCACTGTTCCCAGCACACTGAAGATCCGAATATTCCCCTTCTTGCTCATTTCCTAGCAAGACCTGGTCTCCTGGCTGCTCTTCACTGTTAGGGGAGATTCACATCATCAAAGTCCTTGAAGAGGCAGGAGAAAGCACCTCTAAAGTGTGCTGCTAAGCACCTGTTGTTTTTTTTTCTTTAAAAATATTCTGTTGTTTTACAGATTAAATTATTTGAAGGTATTATAAGCCAACTACATCATGGTTGCTTAACATGAGAAAACCCAGGTCAGATGATCCAGTTTCTCCCGTTTGAGGAAAAAAAGTTTGAAACAAGGGATTGTTGTGTACCTCTGTCTGCTTCTGAAACTCTTCATCAGTATCAGTCAGAACAATGGTGTAGTCATTTTGTCTTCCAGGTGTTCCCAGTTTGACAGTCAGGTCAGTGGAAGCAGTGTTCAATGTCTGTATGCTGTATGCTGACAGAGCTTCTAAGGCCACTACTGTGTCCTAGGTGAGAAAGAAGCGCAAAAAACGTGATAATTATGCCACATTATTTCAACAACATGTAGGATGACATTATCAGTCACCTTGGACTACTCAATTTTATGCTTTTTCCTGCTCTGAAGTTCTCCTGTATCTGTTCCTACCTGCACAGACTGTTAATCCTATTTCCCAGCTTCTTCTTTTAGCACTAAAATTGTAAAACCACTGGAGTTCTGACCTTAGATTATCATAGGTCTTCATGAAGACAAAGAATCTTCTTTGCTAGCTTTTAACCATTTTATTTTGGCTCATTGTTTATTAATGAGCCAAAATCTTTAGTGCTTCATGCACCAAAGAAGTTGAGGATTAACTGTTATAATGCTTTCAAATCTAAATGAAAAAGTCTGTATGAGGCTTCTGTTTTCTTCCCCTTGCCCTAGAACTCCCCCTGGACTGGTGGTCAGGCACCTGTGTAGAGCAGTACCCTCCACCGTAGTTTCTTCTTTCTGTCAACCACGTAGCAATAGGCCTTGTGTACTCCATGTCTTTCAGGAGCAATGTTTGAAGCAGTGCATAGGCCGTGGTTTCCACTGAGACAGCATCGTTCCCATTTCCCCAGTAGCGCTGCTGCTTTGCTGCAAGAATAACTCAGTCTTGAATCTCCTTCATAGGGACATTTGCCAAGAATCACTATTGTTCTACACAGTAGGTATTTCATGTCATAGCACTGAGGGACCACAAGACACAGGTGGTGTTGTGAGAGCAACAAATCCATTGAGAAGAAAAGATAATGGAAAAGGAAACCTATAGCTTCCAATTTTTCAATTATCACAGTCTAATGAACCCACTGTACAGCGATGTCCATGTGATGGAGTGGTAGCATTGTGTCTGGTGGTTCCTGAGAGATAATAGTATTAATTATGCCCATAAATCCAGCCTTGAATAAGGACAACCATATTCCCTATACTTAAACTATGGCTATTAAACCATAATGTATTGCAAGAAATTTAGCAAATGTATTGGAAGAAATTAATAGGATGGCAGTGCTGCCACGCAGCCAACTAACCCAGCAGTCACCACATCCACACACTGGAGGACTAAGAGGTGACATCCGTGTGGAGCTGCAACAAAGCACTCCGAACTGGTGGGGGGCTTTGAAAGCAGGTGGTCTGGAAGAGACACCTTGCCTCTTGATCAGAAATCCAGTCTGGGCTACTGTTATATGTAGCTATTTTCTCATTCAAATTTTCTTCTTCCTCATTTGGCTTGGACTTTTTTTTTTCTTTTCCCCAAGGGGAGTAGAAAATGTAAATGAATATTTACCATGGTATTGTCCAAGTTCCAGTGTCAGAGAAGATCATGATCCAAACTTCATTATGGTGTCACTTTGTAGTGATATTAATTATGCATATTACATATTAAAACATCAACATTGACATATTTAATTATGTAATTTAAATAATTAAATATATTACACATACACATACATGTTTCTATAAAATGAAATGTTTCTCATTTACTTGAATATGTTTTGTTCATGTAAGTGTTCTCAGTGTTTCAATTAGGAAAAGTGCTTTCTAAAGGAATTTTTAAGGATGGTTACCTTCATCAAAAACAGAACAGTCCCTTAATTTTTCTTTCACAAACTGGGCTTCTTCACTATCAGACTGCACAAGTGTCAGAGCATAAGCCGTGATGACTGTAGAATAGCAGTCAGTATTTCTCGAAAGTTGATTTTTCATGTAATCCACTGCTCCTCTAATCCCTTCTACCTGTGAAAACAGAATGGATCCATTTGAAAAGATCACTGAGATCTACTAAGTCTTACTGCTGGCAAGAATACTAGGAAATTAGAATACTTCACTGTAGTAATTTTTGACAATTGTAATCACTTTTGCTTAGTGATTAAAGCCATTGATGATGGACTGTGTAGGTCGAAGCGCCTTGTACAATAGGCCACGGAATCTTTTCCTATACACCACAGATGTAAACAGATTTTATACTCCTGATTTGCAGTACTGTAAGAGATAGAAGAGTGGATATGCCATTGTGCAATAGCCTTCAGACTTAAAGAGTCACGCTTCCTACCACATCAGGTAACTTGTAGACCTGGAGCGTCTGTTGCAATGCTATGGTTACAAAGGCTGTCATAGCCAAATCCTCTTCTGCTAACTTAATGCCACCCTGAAAGACAAAACATTAAAAGGAAAAGTTAAATGTACATGCTTATGATTAAATTTAGAAAATCACTTTTCATGAAGTAAAGGATCTTCTTGGTAAACCATCTGGTCACATACCATGTAGCTTTACCTTTAATTTTTCTCATTGTGTCCATCTAAAGTATATCTTCTATAGTGGCAGCTAGTTTTCATTAAACAGTGTCAGAAATTAGGAACCCACCATGTCCTTCAGCTGATAATCAAATATTTAATTATTTAACTTATAGTTTAAAATCTATAATTTGTCATTGAAATATTCATAGCTTCAATTTTTCAAGCATTAGTTGGGTGGGGTTTTTTCTTTTCATTTCTCTGGTACTTTTTATGCACTTACTTGCACACAGAACTTTTTTCCTGTAAAGGTATTTATGCACCAATACTAGATCATTTCCTATCCCTCTTCTTGATAAAGTAAACATAGTCCTTTCATTCGCTTTTTTTCCCCCCTGAAAACTCTTGAAGTATATGTAAAATAGAAGATAACTATCTCAGCATGAACATAGGTCAGAAAAAAATCAAAACCCTTTGGCCAGTTCTTGAGCTGTTTGTTTTTTTCCCCCCAACAGTGTTACATCAACTGTAAAACTGGATTTGAGGGGGAAAGCCTCACGACTTATTTGACACAGATAATTAATAATATTAATACATGTTTTTTTCATATATGGTCACTACAAAGGTAACTGCATTTTCAATGAGTTTTGGAAGATGCACATTATTTCCATAGTCTAGATTCATGGACTGTATAAGAATTTTGTGTTTCTGGACAGTTATAGGGGATGTGTAGACTAAGATATGCAAGTGGAAATTCTGCTCAAGTATTAATATTTTCTTTTTTTCACCATGAGAGTGGTGAAATACTGAAACACATTACCCAGAGAGACCAGGAGGTACTCAAGGCTCAACTGGACATGGCCCTGTACAATCTGATCTAACTAGATCTGTTTTGAGCAGATATATAATATCTGCTCAAATATAAATAACCTCTGGATGTCCCTTCAAAATTAAATTATGATTCTATGGCTCTGTTGCCTTTGGCAATAAAAGGCTTACATTTTTACCAAACATATGGACCTCACAATTAATTTTCTAAGTGCTCTATAGGCATAGCTGCAAAAATTATCTAAGATTGGATGAAAAGATAAGGGTGGTAAAGTGCTAACTATGCATCTGACATAAAAGACCTTTTATCAAGTTAATTTTACATTACAGATTTATTTTCTTGTTACTCAACAAGAGATACATTTCTTGTTACTCAACAACTCACAATATTCCTTTGAACCCCTAATAGCCCTAAATGAGCAACAGATTCTTCTAAATATGGATTACCTACCTGCATTGACCTGTCCAATACGGGGTGATGGTCGTGGAATGAACCATCTGCCTGCTGTTGATTAATCAAGTAGGAAATGGAGTTGAGTATGTGATTGTCTTGGACACCAATGTAATCTCTGCACCTTGTGAGTACTTTAACAATGAATGCAGTTAACCTGCACAAAAGAAAATTTTCCAGACTTGTGCTGACATATATTTATAGAAAACTATATCGACAGGAAAATAAACATACTAATTTTGTATACAGACTCATATTCAATACAGTCCACTCACTGGAACCTAGTGTGTTATTATTCAACATCAGCATGACCATTTCTACCCTGTGGCAAATGCAAAATAATCAGTGGCTCAGTATAAATCTCCTTCATCAAGGACTGAACGTGCTCAGAGATTTTGTGGCTGACTATTCATGACAAAAGTATATAGGCAACACCATGTCCACCAGATCTTGAAAATCTATCCCCCTAGAAAAACTCCTGATGCATCAAAAGGTAATAGAGGTAACTCGGAAAAAACCCAACCAGATAAAGAAACAAAACCAAAAATAAAACCACAGAAAAAAAATCACTTACCATACACTACTGGGGATTTTTTTAAATGCTCCGTAGGAGCCATCCACCTTCTGAAACTCAAGCAGTCTAGTATAACCTGCATGAAGAGGAAAGAACATAACTTTTCAGAGAATACCCATATTTACTGGGCATTTTCCTACATCACTTGCATTAGCATGAATATGTTCTGTATTAACTGGTGGAAGAGTTCATGGAGGTGTTCGCTGGTGCATTAAGGAGGAAATGACTGTGTCAGCAGACTTCGACACAGAAAAAGCACTAGGCTTAGAAGGTCCTCTGTCTTGTTTGGCTTAACTAAGCCATGAGAATAACCTGAAAACTGCAGATACCTATGGTTACAAAGCATTTTCTGTGTAGTGAATCTTGGGAAACTTATTTCCTCTTATTGACAACTTTTCAAGCTGTTGACTTTATAGCACATTGAATCAGAAAGTATACAAAACATCATCTATTTCATCATACACAGCCTCAGAAATCACGGCCTCTGATCTTGACTGCTACTCTCCTGACAAAGTCTGTATCACAGCCACAGCTCATTTTTTATACTAATGAACTTCAATAAGAATCAGTAAAAGCATAATATAGGGACTAAATGATGCTGATAATACCAAATACTCATTAGCAGGATCTCATATCACTTTAGGCAGTCTTAGATAAATAGGCAAAGACCTCCATGCAGCAACTGCTAGCATGTTTTTAATTTCTATTTATATACTTATTTTTCACTGTTGAAATGTGTGCCACACGTCTGAATATCACGAAGACAGGCATGTAATATTGCTTTATGCCATAAGCACACCACTGCAGTTAGAAAGATCAGCTGTACCTGCTGCAACACTGGCAACTCTCAGGCTCTGTGTTAGTGCCTGAGAGTTAGTGAGCTGGAACACTTCCACATACTGTGGTCCTGGCTTTACCATTTAATAGTATCTTTGGATCACATCTTGGAGTGGACTCTTCGAGAAGAAGACTTGCAGGTGTCCTCTCCCTAAGGAAACTCCCTCCCTGGGTTGGGTCAAGGCTTCTGAAGCCATTCTAGCTTATGTGATGATGAGTACGGGAGTGTGGAAGCAAAAGTGTCAGTATCATGATTAGCATTGGGAATTTCCTTTGTGATACTTCTTTTGATAGCCACAGACAGAGATGTCTACATCCCAGCTGGGCATCCTAAGCACTGTCTGTGAGTCAAGGGGAGAAATAAGTCTTTTTAGGACATGATTCATCTTTATCCATTTTGAACTTGTACATTAGGAGGAAATGAAGGACTGGCCTTTGCTATCCATTTACTCTGAAAAGAGCTGACATTAATCAGCTCAGATTTTACTTTCTACTTCTGAATTAGGCAAGAGGGAGGATGGATGGTGAACATCAATACCTGTCCACTGCCAGATGCTGGCAAATAGTCTCTTAAGTCCTCCTCACAAGTTCTGTTTGCAGATTGTCAGAGGTATTTCTTTGTGGCTGTGACATTGGTCACTCCTTCACCAAGTAAAAACAATCAGCGTGCAGTGCAAAATGATAACAAAAATCCCATCTTTTGGGCTCTGGTTTGGTTTTTGTTTTGTTTTGTTTTGTTTGTTTGTTATTTTGGGGTTTGTTTGTTTTTTTTCCCCCCCTCTTTGTCTGCATACCTTGTTCAATCATACTAATGGCTTCCTGCTTCCGTTCAGGATTAAAGTTCACCCACTGCTCACTGGCATCCAAGTACTCAATAGCGTAGACTGCAGGGGCCATTGTGACCATTGTTTGCTCTGCACAGCCTGTGGGCACTTGAATAAGTTTCTCCACTCCAGTAAGACTAAGACAATTTTCAACAGACTTGTCCATAATATTCCCTGTTGTAAAAAACATAAGCCATAATACATACCATATTTAAAATTGGGTGGTGTAATATGAAGAAAGGTGATAATAACTATAGGTTGACATTCCAGCATGGCCTGATACTCCTCACCATTAAACACTGTTTTTAGTTACCTAAGACTTTGTAAAGCTGAAGAAGAACAAGGATGAGGTGCCAGACCCTGGGAAAGCTGGAGAAAGGAGGCTGGCACAATGAAGGAGTATGAAAGAGTCCCAAGGCTGCTGGAGGCAGAGAAGCAAGGAAAGGGGGAAAGATTGGTGCATGGGGTTTGGGCTGGAAAATTCCTGTCAAACCAGACATGATCCTCCCACAGAAGGGAAGAATGATTGTACATTAATCATGCCAAACCTTTTGTGTATTTTTTTTCTCTCTGCAATTTTATCATTCGATGAATTCACACATCCCTGTACTTTAGCTCAGGGATTTGAAGTGGAAGCCAATACCCTTTGTGTCACAAATGCATTATTTTCCATTTTCTGGGGAAAACAGTAATTATCCCTAATAAAATTGCTTGCTAATAGATGTTTTTAAAATACGTATACATGCATATATATATGTACGTATACAGTTATTGGATTAAATGACTATATGATTATACATATCTTCTCTTCAGCAAAACAGAACTTTCCAGAACTTATACATCAGAATCTGGCATCCTTATTTCTAAAAGCTAAATCAGATTTCTACAAACCTAAATGCAGTGTGGGTTTATTAGAGAAGCTGAATCCCTTCACCTTTGGCCTTCCCATAATTTTAGTCTGAGCACAGTGAAGAGGATGGATCATATAAAGCTATTACATCCATTTCAAGTAAGAAGGAGTAATTAGAAGGAGGAAAAGATACTGGATCAACCCTGGGGGTGTTCTGTCTTATGACCTGGTCATGTAGCACAGACAATTTGACTCATAACAGAAAAACTAGGAGGGAACGGATATTTGACATGCAGGAATAAGCAGCACAGAGGGACCTGTCCGTTGTCACCTGGAGAAGTTGTTGACAAAAAATTACATTTACCTTTCAGGCTAACAAACACATGACTATCAGAACCTGGTACCATATCAGGTGGTCTGTTCAGGTCCAGTGTTTGGGATTTTACTGTAAATAAATAATAAATAGAGATCTACACCCAGACTTTTTAAACATAAACAACATACAGTGTAATTTTAGAACATACTTTTCCTTAAGCATTTCACAGCTGACATCAATTTTGACAGAAATGTTATCTGAAACATTAAATGAAATTTTATGGAAAGAAGTATTTTTAAAATTCATTTAATTTATTTAATTTCCAATCTTTAACAATATTTTAGGTTTGAAAAAACTCCTACTTTTTAATATGTTTAGGACCCATTAGTAGATGAAATAGAGGCTTATTTAATATTTAAAGAATGCTACTTTGAAACAAAAAAGTAAAATAAATCAATCCTAAAAATTTAGAATTTAATGACTTTTCTTTCCTGAGTCTTTTGCTAGGTACCAGATGAATTTATTTGTGATAAGTTCTGGTTAACAAAAGCAATATCTCTACATTAAGAAGTATTTCACTGCATCCATCATTCACCCCCTCTTTCTACTCCAAACCTCATCTGAATCAAACTCTTTTCTGTAACTTACAGCCACTGTTAATGCAAATGGTTTCCTCTTCTCTCTGTAAAACACCTTCTGCCTGCATAATTGAGGAAAGAAAAAGTCAGAATGTTTGCAAGCACTCACACCTGAAATTAACCTGCACAAAACCCATAAGCTCCATTCTGGCATTAGACCAGCGGGTGGCACAAATAAGTGATTTTGATGTGAGATTTCTCTCCAGGTAAAACTCAAGCATAAAATCAGAATTACAATCTCCCAGTTGAAATACTAATAAACTATACTGACTTTTTGTGTTACTATTGAAATATTTCCCTGGATGAAATTCCCTTAAATAAAACTAACTTCAAAAAATTAAACTTCAAAGTTTATTCTCAGCTTTGTGAGCCATGCAAGTCAAGTTCAATGAGGGACTCATATTTATAAATCTCTCAAATATGAAATTCATGACGTTCTGAGTACATCTTGTTGATAAAATCTAAACTTTTTTCCTTCTGATTTCCACATATCCTTCTTCCTACAATTTCAGTTTTAATAAAGCTATTTTTACAGTTACTTTTAATGTTTTAGTGTAGCATTGAACTCTGAGACTCTGCCTATCTCCAAAAAAGTTATGGCCTGTAACAACTGCAGGTTCTCAACATCCTGTGCCTTATCCTTACCTACAATGGTACAAGGATTCATATTTTGCACTTTTTTGTGTGGATTGAAAATAGCCCTCAGTAGGTGACTTGGGTGCTGTAACAAGTCTGTGTTGGCTCTTGAAAAGTCATCTTTTCTAGAAGGTTCCTCCTTTTTATAATTTTGAAAGAGAACTAAGTTATTTAATAATATTTACAGCATTTTTTTTGCCTGTATGTTTTACCTGTGCAATCATTAAAACTGAAGATCCATCAACCAGAGGGAATAAAACAAGTTTAAATTTATTACTAGCAGAGAGTATTTCCTTCTCAAAATATTGATACATGCACATCTTCAATCTTGGCTTCATAAGGGAAGAAGAATTTTCATATAGAATCACAGAATCATAGAATATGCTGAGTTGGAAGGGACCCATAAGGATCATTGAGTCCAACCCTTAGCCATGCACAGGACCATCCTCAAAAGTCACACCATGTGCCTGAGATATTGTCCAAATGCTTCTTGAATTTTGTCAGGCTTGGTGCTGTGACCACTTCCCTGGGGAGCCTGTTCCAGTGCCCAACTACCCTCTGGGTGAAGAACCTTTTTTCTAATATCCCACCTAAACCTCCCCTGACACAACTTCAGGCCATTCCCTCAGGTTCTGTCACTGGTCACCACAGAGCAGAAAACAGTGCCTGCCCCTCCTCTTCCTCTCACGAGAAAGTTGTAGACTGCAATGAGGCCTCCCCTCAGTCTCCTCCTCTCCAGGTTAAACAGATCAAGTGACCTCAGCAGCTCCTCATATGGCTTCCCCTCAAAGCCCTTCCCCATCTTCTTTGCCCTCCTCTGGATGCTCTCTAATAGCTTAATATCTTTGTTATATTGTAGTGCCCAAACCTTCATGCAATATTCAAGGTGAGGGCACACCATTGCAGAGCAAAGCGGGACAATCCCCTCCCTCGACTGGCTGGCGATGCTTTGCCTGATGCCCCCCAGGACACGGTTGGCCCTCCTGGCTGCCAGGGCGCTGCTGACTCAGATTCAACCTGACATTGACCAGGACCCCAAGGTCCCTTTCCATGGCACTGCTTTCCAGCATCTCATTCCCCAGTCTGTACGTACATCCAGGGTTGCCTTCATACATGTTGATAAAGCAGGTGGAAGTTAAAGATTACGAGATGAGCACTGGCTGCATGAAGAAGTTTTTGCTATGTCATGGGTAGAAGGATGCATTTTGCTATAGAGAACAAACATTTCCATATACATTATACATATAGGGTTAAATTTCTTCCACATGCTATACCTCACTCCTTACTGAAAAACAGGTTTCCTGAGATTGTTTCCAGTCTTATCTTTGTACCATTTCACTCCCTTCATGAAAGCTCACACACAGTGAATGTTACATTTGGGGAGAAGCACATATTTGTGAAGTTCTTGTCCTCAACAAGTTATACCTACCACAACATTGAGGTTCTTCCTAATGCTGTCACTATACCCAGAAACCTTGTCAAAAGCAGTAATAGTAATTGGAATTTCTCCCACAGTCAAAGGGACAACTGAGAAGTAGGCTGGTGTTGCAGAGTTCCCCTTAGCCACCAGTGGCAGCTGCACAGCCTTCTCTGTTGTCTCTGCGGTGCACAGCTCCTTCACTGCATCCATCTTCACTGTTACCTGTGGGGACAAGGCAATGTCTGAGATCAGTCTTACAGCATCACTGCACAGGAAAAATACTCCAGCTCCACTATGCCTAGATAAGAATGGGAAATTAGAAACAGGTAAAACAGGAGACTAGCTTTTGCTTAAAAAGGAAAGAGCAATGAAGACATTTTGCAAGATATTGTTTTTCACTTTGCGCTCCTGAATTTACTGTTTTCCATTTATAAAATGGGAAAACCTTTTCATCAAGAAGTGATTGATTGCTGACACAGCTTGTCCAAGAGGTTTGTGGAGTCTGCCTCCTTGGAGATATTCAACATCTGACTGGACAAGACCATGAACAACCTGCTTTAACTGGACCGGCTCTGAGCAGCAGGTTGGATTAGAGACCTCCAGAAGTCCCTTACAACCTAAATTGTTCTATGACCCTTTACTGTGTTAACATTCATCTACATTGACTAGGGTTGTGAATATAAATTGGCTAGTATTTCTTCATTATGCTGAATTTGCAGTATAGAATCATAGAATCATAGAATCATTTCGAAATCGCCTGGGTTTGGGAACAAAAGACCCCGAGGATCAATTGCGTCCAAAACCCCCTTGGTCCAAATCCCAGTTTCCATTTACTAGATTTCATGGCACTCGTTTTTGCCACGTCCAAATTCTTGGCGCTTTAAAAAATCTCCAGCGGATGGTGAAATGAATCCACCACCTCTCTGGGGGGCAGCCCCAATTCCAAGCTGATTACTCTCTCTGTTAAGAATTTTTCTCCTGATATCCAACTAAATTTCCCCTGGCGCAGCTTAAGCCCGTGCCCCCTTGTCCTATTGCTGAGTGCCTGAGAGAAGAGACCAACCCCCACCTGGCTAGAACTTCCCTTCAGGTAGTTATAGACGGTGATGAGGTCACCTCTGAGCCTCCTCTTCTCCAGGCTAAACAACCCCAGCTCCCTCAGCCTCTCCCCATAGGACTTATGCTCCAGTCCCTTGACCAGCCTTGTTGCTCTTCTCTGGACCCGCTCCAGCACCTCAATATCCTTTCTGAACTGAGGGGCCCAGAACTGAACACAATACTCAAGGTGTGGCCTCACCAACGCAGAGTACAGGGGAAGGATCACTTCCCTGCTCCTGCTGGCCACGCTATTTTTGATACAGGACAAGATCCCATTGGCCTTCTTGGCCACCTGGGCACACTGTTGGCTCATGTTGAGCTTCCTGTCAATTAGTACCCCCAGGTCCCTTTCTGCCTGGCTGCTTTCCAGCCACTCTGTGCCCAGCCTGTAGCGCTGCAGGGGGTTGTTGTGGCCAAAGTGCAGGACCCCGCACTTGGCTTTATTGAACTTCATCCCATTGGAATCAGCCCATCTCTCAAGTCTATCCAGATCCCTCTGCAGAGCCCTCCTGCCTTCCAGCAGGTCGACACTCCCTCCCAGTTTGGTGTCATCAGCAAATTTGCTGATGATGGACTCAATCCCCTCATCTAAATCATCAATAAAGATATTAAACAGGACTGGACCCAACACAGACCCCTGGGGAACACCACTGGTGACCGGCTGCCAGCTGGATGCAGCTCCATTCACCAGCACTCTCTGGGCCCGACCCTCCAGCCAGCTCCTAATCCAGGAGAGGGTACACTTGTCCAAGCCATGGGCTACCAGCTTTTCCAGGAGTATATTATGGGAGACAGTGTCAAAGGCCTTGCTGAAGTCTAGATAGACCACATCCACAGCCTTCCCCTCATCCACCAGGTGGGTCACCTGATCGTAAAAAGAGATCAGGTTGGTCAGACAGGACCTGCCCCTCCTAAACCCGTGCTGGCTGGGTCTAATCCCTTGTCCATCCTGAAGGTGCTGTGTGATTGCACTCAGGATGATCTGCTCCATAACCCTGCCAGGCACCGAGGTCAGGCTGACAGGCCTGTAGTTGCCAGGGTCCTGCTTGCAGCCTTTTTTGTGGATTGGGGTGACATTCGCCAACCTCCAATCATCTGGGACCTTCCCAGAGAGCCAGGACTGTTGGAAGATGATGGAGAGCGGTTTGGCAAGCTCTTCTGCCAGCTCCCTCATCACCCTGGGATGGATCCCGTCTGGTCCCATAGACTTGTTAGGATCCAGCTGGCTCAGTAAGTTGCTAACTACATCCTCCTGGAATACAGGAGGGCTATTCAGCTCTCTGTCTCTGTCTATCTGCTCTAGAGGCCAGTTGTTCTGAGGGCCACCTGTCTTACTGCTAAAAACTGAGGCAAAGTAGGTGTTAAGTACCTCAGCCTTCTCCTTATCTTTGTTAACTATATTTCCCTCCAAGTCCAACAGAGAATTGAGGTTTTCCTTGCCCCTTCTTTTGCTATTAATGTATTTATAGAAGGACTTTTTGTTATCCCTAACTGAATTAGCCAAATTAACTTCAAATTCCACTTTTCTTTCCCTAATTTTTTTCCTGCATGACCTAGCTCTCTTCGTAAATTCTTCATAAGTAGCCAGCCCTTTTTTCCACAGTCTGTAAACTTTCTTTTTATCCCTGATTTCTTTCAGAACCTCCCTATTTAACCAAGCCGGCCGTCTTCCCCTCCGGCTGGCCTTTCGGCACACTGGAATAGCCTGTTCCTGTGCGCTCAAAATTGCCTGTTTGAAGCATGTCCATCCCTCCTGGACCCCCTTGCCTTTAAGGGTTGTTTCCCAGGGTATGCCCTGAATTAGTTTTTTGAATAGGCCAAAATCTGCCCTCCGGAAGTCCAGAGTAGAAGTTTTAATGATGGCTCTCCTTACATCCCTAAGGATTGAAAATTCTATTATTTCGTGGTCACTATGCCCTAGGCGGCCTCCAACCACTACATCATCCACCAGCCCCTCTCTGTTTGTAAACAGTAGGTCTAGTGGGGCCTTACCCCTGGTAGGCTCATTTACCAGTTGATGAAGGAAATTATCCTCTATACACTCCAGGAACCTCCTTGACTGCCTCTTCTCTGCAGTATGAAGCTCCCAGCAGATATCCGGCAGGTTAAAGTCACCCATGAGCACAAGGGCTGGAGATTTTGAGACATCTGCCAGCTGCTTGTAGAATAATTCATCTCCTTCATCATCCTGGTTGGGCGGTCTGTAACAGACACCCACAAGGATGTCAGCCTTGTTGGCCTTCCCCCTGATTCTGGTCCACAGGCACTCAACCTTGTCACTGCTGACCTCAACTTCAACAGAGTCAAGGGACTCTCTAACATATAAAGCCACCCCTCCACCTCTCCTACCCTGCCTGTCCTTTCTGAAGAGCTTGTAGCCCCCCATAGCAGCACTCCAGTCGTGTGAGTCATCCCACCACGTTTCTGTGACAGCAACTATGTCATAGTTTTCCTGCTGCACTATGGCTTCCAGCTCCTCTTGTTTGTTTCCCATACTGCGTGCATTGGTGTACATGCACTTCAGCTGGGCCATTGATTTTATTCTCAACTCAGGCACTACACCCTTAGGCTTATTTCTGGAGAGCCCAGTTGCCGCCCCCTCCCCCTTCAAACCTAGTTTAAAGCCCTCCTAACTAACCCTGCCAACTTACGGGCTACAGTTCTTTTGCCCTTCCCAGATAGATGAAGCCCATCTGGTTTAACAAGACTAGGCAACATGGAGTTTGCCCCATGATCAAAAAACCCAAAATTTTGACGATAGCACCATCCTCTAAGCCACCTATTGGTAAGCTGTGCTTTCCTAAACCTCTCCTCATTTATCTCCTCATTCATCCCAGCTAGCACAGGAACTGAGCCAATTACTACCTGTGCTCCTGTCCCATGAAGTGATCGGGTCAGAGCCTTAAAATCTTTTTTAATTACCCTGGTACTCCTATTATTGATGTCATCACTTCCAACCTGGACAACCAACAGCGGGTAATAGTCTGAGGGTTGAATAAGCTTAGGAAGTGTTTTCGTAATATCCCTCACCCTGGCCCCAGGAAGGCAGCAAACTTCCCTGTGGGATGGGTCTGGCCGACATATAGGGCCCTCAGTTCCCCTCAAAATGGAGTCACCAATTACAATAACCCTTCTCTTTTTCCTCTTACCTGTAGTTGTAACAGATCCAGTAGACCGGGGGTAACCAGAAGACCTTGTAGACAGATCTTCCTTCTGACTGTCCCCCATCAGACTTTCTGAAACCAGGGCCATATACCTGTTTTTTAAGGGCACCCTGGCAGGTGAAAGGGGTCGAGAGGGGGTGTTTTTGCCTCTACGACCAGGCACCTGTTTCCATTCCTCCCCATCCATATTATCCGTTCTGTCTACCTGATGGCAGGGGGGGCTGGGCTTCACCACCTCCTGCTGGGCTTCCTTAGGGAAGGACTGTGATTAAGAAAACTATTCTTCTTCTCATTACACAAAATTGGAATATATATTACTCTAAATATTTCCCAGAGATTTCATCATTTTGATTTTTTCTGAGCTTATCCAGTTACAATGTATTAACATTCATCTTTTGCTCTGAAACCATGACTGTGCTTAGCACTGGCTGCAGTGCCAGTTTCAGAGATAAGGGACTCCAACTGCTGTCATTCGAGATTTACATGTGTATAAATCAGAATATTGCTTTATTCCTCTGGGATAATCATTGCACTTGGAGCTGCTGTGGTACTTCTGATTAAAGAAATTGGCCTAGAATTATAACAATATCAGATTAACATACTCATGTACAATATTAAATAGTCATATAATGTTTATATTAAATAGTTAAATAACATTTGGCATTTCAAATGCACAGAATTCAATTAGCTGCATAACAATTGGTAATTTTTTTTTTTAGAATCTTTTCAGTGAGGATGAAGATAAAGAAAATTTTATTATATCAAAATGCAATATATTAGGTAAGGATTTCTTTTTAAGAGTTCTTATTATCACTTTTCAAGGACACCAAAGGTTTTGCAGCCTTTTTAATGGTATTAGGGATAGCTACAATTAGTCTTCCTGAATAATGAAAATCACTTAAAAATAAGCTGGTATTGTTTTCATGGTCATTGCAAAACTGATCCTGTCATTATTGA